TTCAAAAGAAGATAGGGTATACTATCAGCTTGAGGACGGCTGATTTGCTTGCTCTGGACTCTTCTTCTCTATAATATCTTTCTATCCTTGTCGTAATCCCAGAATTCGGAAAGGTCGTTCGTAGGACAAAGCCCTAGGCGGTCGAAAAAGGCCTTTAGGGGAAGTTGAGCAGTATAGGCAAAGCAGGGAAATCGCTCCGGACGGCTACCTCGATTACACTCCGCAATTGCCTCCTCCTCTTCCTCTCCTATCTCTGATTCGGGACTAGTCTCCGTACCTAGATAGAGAGGTAGCTGCTCCAAGCTCGTTGGTAGCTTAGTAACCGTTATACCGTACCTCTCTTAACAAGTATCAATCGCTGAAACACTATAGAATATTAGAGGAGAGTAATAACAGTATAGCAAGTGTCCTTACATCGTATTGTGTAGCGTCTTATTGTTAGAGGCGTTGTCGCACGTAATAGCAGTCAATCGCCGCTCAATCTCGAACTCTTATAAGATCTCGAATAGTATCTCCGCAAGATGATCACTAGTATAACGGCTAGTAATATAAGGGAAACCAAGCATCCCTTCGTACTAAGTCCATTAGTCGTCAATCCAGTAGACCCGTATAGTTAGGAATAAGGTTTTTATAGTCCTGGATTGCTAACCATTATACGCGATAGCCATCTTGAATCTTCTAGCGAGACGGGCTTTAAGGGAGTCGGCGGAGTCTATAACCTTAGTATCGAGCATCCTTCGGTATGTCGACGCGCATTTGAACGGAATTGTCTCGACCTGTCCCGGAAGTAGTGCTATATAAGTCTGTTTCACCGAGGGTCGTTCAAAGAACTAGAATAGTAGACCGTTGTCGACAATTATCTCAAAGCATAGGCGCGGGAAATCGTCTAGTATATAGCCTAGGTCCCTTGTCTACCGTAGATTGCTAACAGTCTAGAAATATCGTCTTAGTATAAGTAGCTAGACGTGGTCGGCAGACGTGGTCGGCAGGTATGGTCGGCGTTAGTTAGTACTTACCTGTCGATGCTTCGCGGCCGTAAACATCTCCTTTGTAAACCCTCGCTCATCTTGTTTCTCCTAGTAGTTCGAGGAGTCGAGATGCTTCTCGACAGATGTTGTACTAGTATTTAGTGCTAGGTGTTTTAGTACAGCGTTACAGCATCTGTATACGACTTTAGGCGTCGCATCTTCTTGAAGCATTCCCTCCTCTAGGAAATCCTATACCTAAGATGTCCGAGACTTACTCCCCTAGGTAATTGGGGACCGATCGAACATAGCACGACCGTTCCGCTTTTTAAGGCGCTTTCCGGTATAATTCCACTACCGTACCTCGTACCAACGCTCAAAGTTGTCCTTATACCTAAGCCTCTATAGCTAGCAATTTGACTTGATATCCTACTCTCCTACATAATTAGGCTCGACAGGGAGAATAAGGGAACTATCTAGTTCCTCTTCTACTGGACGCGGCCGTCTCGTTCTACGCCGCCTAACGTCAGGTTGTCGTCGGCGTCGACCTAGTGTTGGACTCGATGGCGCATTGAGTGTCGTCCTATAGCGCTAGCGTAGCCGTACGCTCGATCGCGTAGGGGTCCCGGAAGAGGTATCGGGCTAGGAGGAGGATTCGAGCTAGGAGCTTCCTACTCCTAGGGAGGACGAGAAGGAGGACGAAAACATAGTAGATAGACGACAATAGCGTAAAAGTCCAGAGGTATCTTAAAGAAGTAGGAGTAGAAAGGGGAAAAAGAAAGAGAATTTCCTGTACTTAATCATAGTGTTACGCTATAACAAGGGTATAGCTAATAGGATATGCCGACATTCTGCTACATCCGAGCCAACCTATCGAAACCCTGGTTCAGGCGTCGCTTGCTATTTACCTATCGCTTCCGCTTCTTAGTCTTAAACTTTAATAAGGGTAGCCAGTCTCTTGTCCTTCTTAACCAGTTCCTCGAGACCAGAAATCGAGAGGCAGAGTTCGTCTTCTTGGAGGAGGAGGAGCAGGATAGCTTCGAGAGTAATACTAGTATACTCTTTTACGCTACAATAGATAAGGCTTTCTATTACTGCTGGCTATATTGTCTGTTCCTTCGTAAGAGAGTTCTCTTTCTCGTACATCTTATACGCTATCTTTGCGAGATGCTTGTTCTCCTTTATTGTCTTTAAAGGCAAAAAGCCGTTAGCTGTATAGTCGTAGGTAGCGGGAATAAGCCAAGAAGGGCCTGGCAATCGCCCTCTATAGTAGGCTTGAGCTTTGGTATCCTACGATAGGACATTCCGGCAAACGGCTCGCTTAATAGGCGAGAAGATCTTATGTAGTAATAGCATTCGGACTTCTTTGATACAAATCTGGAATTGTAATTAGTTTCTGTAGTCGGCAAATATAGTCGGCAGATATTTACCTTCATTGTCTCGCTGCTAACGATTTTCAAGACCTCTTTTATGCCTTTCTTATTTAGTATATCTAGGTTCTCAAGGATAACAATCTTGTCCTAGAAGTAGTGAATAGAAGAGCGCTATTGATTGTAGGCCGTCGAAAAAGTGGAAGAGGATGCCTAGATAGCAAAGGTACCAATGGACTTAGCCCTCGCTTCCTCTATCTGTAGAGTCGAGAATAGATTGAGAACTGATTCCGAGGGAAGGCAATAGTTGCTAAGGCCGCCAACCCCTTTGTCGCACTCCTCGCCAACAGATAGATACTCCTATTCCTACTCAATCTGGTCTTCTTTCTAGAATGTCAATCGTTCCTTAGAGTCGATATCGCCGAGTTCGAGAAACCAGTCGGCTTTATTAATCTTTGCCTACTTATCGGGAGGAAGTGTTATACTCTTTCCAGTCTGCTTCTTTGTACTAAATCAGAAGTTAGTACTCAAATCTGCCGACTATATCCGCCGACTATATTTGTACTTACGCTTTTTGATTATACTCCTTTGTATATATCTTTCTCTAGCCCTCGATAAGTTCCTGTTGCTTATCTTTGGCGAGGCTTTCGAAACTCGTATACTCCTTGATTTGTGCCTTTTTGAATCGCGCGAAGGATTCGTTACGCGCTTTGCGGTATCGATCCTGTGCCCTCTTTTCTTCGTCTATAGCGGTAGTACGCTCTCGGTCTCGTAAAGTATTTAGCTTGAGGGAGTACTCCTCGAGTGACTTCGAGGCTGCGCCGAGCTTTGCGCGCTTGTTTGCTAGTACCTCTGGGGCATTGCTCTTGCGTTTCGGCATAGTAAGGTTTCTAATGTTAGTGTAGTAGTTGAAGAAGAACTCGGTCTGATTACGAAGGTAGGTATCGACGGCGCTAGTGAAGGTACGGAGGTACGGGTATTGTAGAGGTGTTGTAGTAAGGTAGTGAAGTGAGAGAGAGAAAGTAAATTTACCCTACTAGGGCAATTTAAGGTTTAGGCAGCTGCCGAATCCCGGCATTAGTTACGCCGGGCAACGATACTACCTATCTTTCCGGACTAATAACACTCTACCGCACCACTGTACCGCCGACGTTATTCTAGATAATAAGTATAAGAACTATACGTAAGTCGCCCCCCCTAGGCGTTATTAATTTCGAATATAAGTTGTTATCCGTTCGTTCGCTACTACTAGGATAACTGCTAGCAGGGGTTATATATATATATATATAGTATATAGATATCTATATTAAAACGATATATATATACAAGTATAGATATCTAGGACCTATATAGTAAAACGCGTACTAAATTATATATACGCCTAGAGAAACAATACGGTCCTACAGCTATAGAAGAACGTGTTCGGCAGACGTAGTCGGCGTATAAGTCGTATATCCTACTAGC